ATTTGAACGTGAGAGAACTTAAGTCCTGAGTGTGCTATGCTTTCTTAAGCTGTTTTAGTATTCTAGTATAATATTACTTGTCGCCAAGTGATTCTTGAAGCTATAGCAGTGTTGTGTGACCTGTGGCTATTTTTATACAGTGTTAAAGTCTGTGATAGTGTTTTTTCTTACGCTTTGTAAGTTGGGTTTTGTTCTTTTCTAAATTAAATATTTTATCTCGTTTAACCTAGTGTTCTGCCACAACTGTGTTCGCTTATTAAAGGTTGTATGCAGATTGGATGAGTTGTTAACTTCAATAGTATCACTAGTTTCCCCTAGACATTGAGATCGAGCCCTAGTGTGTTGTTGAGTTAGTGTTCATTCATTTAGGCTTTAAGTCATTTGCATATAACCCCGAAAAAAGAATCCGGGGACGTTCACCATCTATCTGGCTGGTAGATAGGTAAACGTTACACAGCAAATGTCCAGAACTTTGATGTATGCAACAAATGTTAGAACTTGGATGTATGCAGCAAATGTCCGGAACTTGGATGTATGCAGCAAATGTCCGGAACTTTGATGTATGCAACAAATGTCCGGAACTTGGATGTATGCAACAAATGTCCGGAACTTGGATGTATGCAACAAATGTCCGGAACTTGGATGTATGCAACGAATGTCCGGAACTTGGATGTATGCAACAAATGTCCGGAACTTTGATGTATGCAACAAATTCCGGAACTTGGATGTATGCAACAAATGTCCGGAACTTGGATGTATGCAGCAAAAGTTAGAACTTGGATGTATGCAACAAATGTCCGGAACTTTGATGTATGCAACAAATGTCCGGAACTTTGATGTATGCAACAAATTCCGGAACTTGGATGTATGCAACAAATGTCCGGAACTTGGATGTATGCAGCAAAAGTTAGAACTTGGATGTATGCAACAAATGTCCGGAACTTTGATGTATGCAACAAATGTCCGGAACTTTGATGTATGCAACAAATTCCGGAACTTGGATGTATGCAACAAATGTCCGGAACTTTGATGTATGCAACAAATGTCCGGAACTTTGATGTATGCAACAAATGTCCGGAACTTTGATGTATGCAACAAATTCCGGAACTTGGATGTATGCAACAAATGTCCGGAACTTGGATGTATGCAGCAAAAGTTAGAACTTGGATGTATGCAACAAATGTCCGGAACTTTGATGTATGCAACAAATGTCCGGAACTTTGATGTATGCAACAAATGTCCGGAACTTTGATGTATGCAACAAATGTCCGGAACTTGGATGTATTCAGCAAATCTCGTGTATGTTTGCTACCAATGTCAAGAACTCAAAAAGTAGGAGCGGATCTGTGTGTTTTAACCGGTAATATAACCCTGGATTTTTTAGTTGATTACATAATTAAGGTTCTATCAAAGGTTCACAATCTAAAGTCATAGGTATACCATTTGAGGTCATACGTTTACAATCGTGAGGCATAGGTTTACTATCTGAGGTTTACAAAAAAGGTTTCGTTGAATGTAAGGTCATAGGTCAATAAGCTACGGTCAGATTTTTGTACGATACATCCTGGATAAACTAACACTACCGTTGTAGTACATGTAGTACCACTACCGTTGTAGTACATGTAGTACCACTACAGCTAATTTACTTTTAGTGAATGACATGGGAGCTTGTTCATATCGAATGGGTATATCGGGAGGCAATGGGTATATCGGGAGGCGATTGGTGTATCGGGAGGCGATGGGTATATCAGGAGGTCTGGGGGTATATCGGGAGGGGATTGGTATATCGGGAGGCGATACATTTTGAGCTATCGTTAAAGTCAGCTTATCCGTCTTTGGAGTTGAATTCTTTGTACATATTCATTTCAGGTCGATTTTTATATTAAAAAACTCAACTTGAACCTTCATATCGACAAAAAAAATAATTTGTCAAGGTTTCACAAACTATCCAAAGTTAACCCTTTAATAAAAAAAATTAACCCTTTAATAATAAGCCCCACAAAACAAATGTTGATTTATAAATTTCAAAATCTCAGGTAGATGAGAGAAAAAAAAACCAGACTACACGTCAATTTTAATTATAGACGTTTTTTTGGTCTAGTAGATCAAGGTCTAACCACCACCTCACACTTCCCCCACTTAAAAATGGTGGCCTGTCAAAAAATATTTTAAGTTCATTTCAGGCAACAGCAGATTTTATCTTTGTCGTAAAAATTTACCAAGGGACAGAACTCCACATTGCGAGTCGATTACCCTACAGGTAACTGCTGATACTGATATGATCACGTTTGTAGAAATAAAAGAAAAATGGCGCCACGACCTAGTACATAGACAAGAGCGGAGTACTTGGAGAAAAGTGGTTACGTTAGACTGAATTGTAAAGACTTAACCAACAAAAGGTTAAATAGATCAAGAGTGTAGATAAGAAGGGTGCAGATGAGGTATTCTTCTGTTCCTTTGACCCAGTGGCGTAGCTACCGTATAGCTAGCATAAGCAAGGCATAGGGTCCCAAGGCTAATAGGGGGCCCTTTTTCGAAAGTTTGAGGGGGGGGGGTGCAAATCGATAGTCTGAGGGGTGGGGGTGCAAATCGAAAGTTTGTCCCCGGTCGCCGTGAAGGGTCGCTACGCCTCTGAGGGACCCACTAACACTTTTTGCATAGCGGCTCAAAAATCCTAGCTACGCCACTGCTTTGACCTCGGCAAGTTTAGACAATAATTAGGTTGTGTAATTTTACAAAGCATGAAATAGATCAGTTTCACAATAACACCTTCAGAAAATCAAGCTGGTTTATTATTTTTAGTTATAATAGTCTTGTAGAAAGGTTTCTACACATTTCAAAATTTTATCACCAAGTTGTTATCAGTGTTTCTTTCAGATTAAATTTTCCGGGAGTGTCCCCCCCCTCCCCCTTGTTTTTGGCATATGGTCTTCTGCACGTGTACGCATGTTCCACATATAAAGTGGAAACATAGGTTGTCTCCGACCTCGACATTGTGGTCTGCCAATATGGTAGTTTTATATACAACCAAGGTAAAAACTATTTTGTTAGTCGTTAAAATTAATTATATTTTGTTGGCTCCAATCATCGTTATTATTTTCTTATATAAACCTCATTTGGGGGGTTACTATCCAGGGGGGTTATGTCGCGGGGGGTTATTATCCAGGGGGTTGTTGTCGCGGGGGGGGGGGGGGGGGTATTATCCAGGGGGTTTATGTCGCGGGGGTTATTATCCAGGGGGTTGTTGTCGCGGGGGGGGGGGGGGGTTATTATCCAGGGGGTTTATGTCGCGGGGGTTATTATCTAGGGGGTTGTTGTCGCGGGGGGGGGGGGGCGGGGATTATTATCCAGGGGGTTTATGTCGCGGGGGTTATTATCTAGGGGGTTGTTGTCGCGGGGGGGGGGGATTATTATCCAGGGGGTTTATGTCGCGGGGGTTATTATCCAGGGGGTTGTTGTCGCGGGGGGGGGTTATTATCCAGGGGGTTTATGTCGCGGGGGTTATTATCTAGGGGGTTGTTGTCGCGGGGGGGGGGGGGGGCGGGGATTATTATCCAGGGGGTTTATGTCGCGGGGGTTATTATCTAGGGGGTTGTTGTCGCGGGGGGGGGATTATTATCCAGGGGGTTTATGTCGCGGGGGTTATTATCCAGGGGGTTTATGTCGCGGGGGTTTATGTCCAGGGTTTTTTTTTTATCGGGCCCTACAGATCTATTGAATAAGATAGAAAGTAGACCAGATCACAAGTATTATGTTTTGGCACACAGTAAAACAAAGTTAAGTACATACACAACCAATAAATAAATGTACACATACAGCTTGTGTCCACCCTTCTTTATTGGTGTCGTGGTATATTACATCCTGACGAAACAATGTACACAATTTATCTTACATAAATATATGGTATAGTTAAAATGACTTTCAGTAAATGTTTCACTAAACAATATTTATAAAACATACAAAAGTATTGCAAACTTAAAAATGTAAACAATGCATTTAAAAAATAAAATTGATGTTTTTTATGCAAGTCATCGTGTTTATGTATTGCTTACAATGTATCATATTGCGCTGTAACATAGGGTAACATGTACTAACACTTTTTTCTAACAGATCAAACAATAGAAGATACAAATGAGTAAAAGTCTGGTTCTAAATTTATTTAGACAGGGAGAAAGGGCTATCATCGAGTTTATTTTAGTTTCTACACACCATTGTCAACCTACACACCGAGTACATGATACAAACACACAGAAGCAACACATAACAACACGCCCAGCTGCTGTAAGGTACGGCTATTGACACAACATGGAACTACAGTTCTTCTAGTACCCAGGAATACATTTTTAAATCATAGCATAGAGAAGACTTCCCTGCACACATTAGGCCAACTTTAGATTTGAAGGTGGGGGTGGGGTGGATGTGAGCGGTCAGAAAAAAATATCCCGCATCCTGTTATCCTACTCTTGATGCCCCGGTGAGACGTGATGAAACATATCATCACCCCCCCCCCCCCCCCGTCTTGGTAAAGCTGTAAAGCCGTGATGAAACATATCATCACCCGCTGTCTTAGTAAAGCTGTAAAGCTGGGGTAAAATATATCCCCGCCTCCCCGCCCCCACCCTGGCCAAGTAAAGTTGAAACAAAATCCACGCACAACACCAGAGCTATGTAAAAATGTGGGTGAGAATATTTGATGAAAGACGATGTAGTGTGTGTTAGATGAAAAATGTATAATTAATTGCACATTAAGTTAAACAAGATCAAAATACACGCCAGTTGAATTTAATAAAATTAACACTTTTACATCAATTAACTTTTGAATATCTTGAACATGCTATGCCGCCTCACCCAGAGTCGTAGCTAGGATTTTTGGCACTTTTACAAAAATTATCAGTGGGCTCCTTAGGCTGCAACGGAGTAAAATGTTGTCAGCGGAACAATCGACTTCAACTTAAGTGGCTATTTTATATTGTATGTTCGTCATAGAGCAGGGGTCGGCAACCTTTTGAAGCGGAAGAGCCAAAAGTTACAATTTTCAAAATTTTCCTGGTGTTAAAGAGCCACTAACAATTTTTTGTTTCAAGTATTTTATTTTTTGATTAAGATTATTAGTATTTGTGCAAGGAGCTGGAGAGCCGCATCTTGACATCAAAAGAGCCGCATGCGGCTCGCGAGCCGCAGGTTGCCGACCCCTGTCATAGAGGAAAAAGGGCCCCTAAGTTTCTAGGAGCATTATGCTTTGCTTATGCTTTTTATGCAGTAGTTACACTGCGGGCCCCGCCATTGGTCATTGGCGTATAGTGACGTTTGATTTTAAAACTGTAAGGTTCAAGTTTCAAAAGAACTATTAATAGATCCTTTTGCATAAAACCATGGGGAAAAAAAAGTCCACCATGATTTAGTGTCTGAGACTAGAGGCTTTAGAATATGTCCTCTTTACAACAAAAACTTACTGCCTTTTACAAATGCAGGTTTACAAATGCTGCACTTGAATAACAGAATACATAATCAAAGATAAACCATAAAAATAGCGTTAAAACACAATATCACACTATTTGCTTGACTAGATTCTATTTCAATAATGTGTATAGTGAAAACGAAAATTGACAATTTAAAAGTCCAAAAACTCTAAACAACCTGGTTGGGCTAGCAACTCATGACTTGAAGTTTGAAGGACACCATGTAATAACTCTTAAAACAGAGGGACTGTCCTTGTCAGTCAGCGCAAGGGCTACACTTTCCTTTAAGAAGAAATCCTAATTGAGGAAGGGAAAGTTGACACTTTTTCCTTTACACCGCCGCTTCCCCTGAAAATCTGGCGTAGATCATGCTGAGCCAATGTATTGTGCAGCTAAAGGGAAACAACAACTGACAACGGTAAATAATCGAACGTCTTCATCGTTTTGTACATCAGATTTAAATTTAAAATACTTTGACATGTTTTGGCTGAAGCAACTGGTTAAAACAACAATGAGAACCACTTTCATGCGGAGTTTAACTTATGTCAAGTGGGCTCGATGTTAGCTCCAGCGCCCTCTGTGGCCGAATGCGAGACCTACGGCCGTGACATCTTCTCCCCCGTGTTACTCCTAGGCCTGAAGAGCTCTATAGGCGGGTCTAGGAACTCCTGGGACGGCAACCGCAGGAAGTAGGCGGGACGACTTAAGTCTTCCGAGCTCTTCGACAAGCTGATGCCTCTGTCCAGCCGGCCGCGAGACGGACGCGAAACGTCATCATCCGTTTTGGAGGCGTATACAGTTCTGCTGCGAGAAGCACCGGAGAGGGCCTTCAGCAATGCCTCGTCCTCTGACTCCACACCTCTAGGACCACCTTCAGTCCTAGACATTTCCACGACTGTGGGTTTTTTAGATACTTTTTTACGATCCTCGCCATTGTTGCGGGATGGTGTTTCATTGTTTCCGTGTTCCGCACGTTGGTCCGAGCGAGTTCCGTGCTCTCTCAAGTACTCGGTAATATCTTCCAACAAGTGACAACCTTCACCTCCAGATGCCTCATGTCCCTCGTCTGTTGGTGAGTTTTTAACCTTGTTTTTACCATTACTGCCGCGTTTTACCATACCACTTACAACGTTTGCGGTTTTCCCGTTGCTATGACACGATACCGAATTACTCATTTCCTCGTTTTTCGAAGCCACGTCATCAAAAACGTCATCACACTCTGCAGACGATTGCTCATCATCTGAAGCCTTCACGACCTCGCCCTGATCTTGTACATCCGTCGGCTCCTCGTCCATCTCCGTGACCCGCTCGTGCAGCAGGTTGAACTTTGCCCCCGCCAGGGACGGCCTGACCTGTCGACCCTCGCCAGCCCGCCTGACGCAGACGATCCTGTCGCCGCGCGTCACGACGATGTCGCCATTTTTGTTCATGCTGCTCATGCCGCTGTTCTTGCTGCCCCTCCGCAGTACCGAGATGATGGACGACAGACGACTGGTCCTTGGCAGAAGTTGGGCGTCTGTCAAAACAATAATTTGAACTACGTCAGACAGAAATCAGCATTCGATTTATTATTTGATATATATGTATATATATATATATATATATATATATATATATATATATATATATATATATATATATATATATATATATATATACGTATGTCTATTCTGAATGTTCATAAGTTAAACAAGTTATATTAGTTATACATATAATATTTGAACAACATAACTAAATTAAATTGTTTTTTGAATGTGTGTTTGTTTTAAACTATTTTAGCGAATAAAAGATTCAATCCTAACTAAACTTTAAAAATGGAAGAACAAAAAAACTATTACAGCATTATTACAGCAGAACCTAACTATTTTCAGTAACATTTATTTTCGGAGAAACAAACTGATATTTAAACTAGATCGCCGTTTTCTGTCATAATCTCAGTAAATAAAGCAAGAGATGCTGCACTTGGCGCCTGCTGACCTTCAGGGGTGGTGTATGTGGCCGTCTGACACAGGATCTCCTTGTATCCCTCTCTGAAGGCCTGGGATCTGAAGGCGTAGATGATGGGGTTACACATGGAGCTCAGGTACAGGAAGGTGTAGGCCTGGGGAGAGATGGGTCAACGGATGGTGGTCAGTGGATGGTGGTCAGTGGATGGTGGTCAGTGGATGGTGGTCAGTGGATGGTTCATGGATGATGGTTAATGGATGGTCAGTGGATGGTCAATGGATGGTCAATGGATGGTCAGTGGATGGTCAGTGGATGGTCAGTGGATGGTCAGTGGATGGTGGTCAGTGGATGGTGGTCAGTGGATGGTGGTCAGTGGATGGTTCATGGATGATGGTTAATGGATGATCAGTGGATGGTCAGTGGATGATCAGTGGATGGTCAATGGATGGTCAGCGGATGGTCAATGAATGGTCAATTGATGGTCAGTGGATGGTTAATGGATGGTCAGTGTATGGTTCATGAATGGTCAATGGATGGTCAGAGGATGGTTAATGGATGTTCAGTGAGCGGAATTTAGGAGGTCAGGGAATGTTTTGGTCAGGGGTCAGGGGATGGTATGTGGATGGTCAGTGAATGTTTTAATGGATGTTTAGTTAATATGTCATTGGATGGTCAGTGGTCAGATCCCATATCAGTTCAGACAGTTTTTATTGGATTTGTCGAACGTTCCCTTCCCTCCTCACGCAGGAGACGGTCTGTAAACAAACCTCCCGGTTACTGTAAACCGGTTACCGTCAACCAAATGTTTAGAACGCAACACTTTAGTTCAAACACCTGCCATTTTGATTATGACAAGATCATGCTGAGGTAATCACTGACAGACTTTTACATCCCTCACCCCCTCGTGTTCTGCCTAATTGCATGTCCACGTCATGCAACTTCCCCATTACAAGGAGTGAAGATGGTCCATGCCATCTAATAACGTATGGCCCATGCCATCTAATAACGTATGGCCCATGTCATCTAATAACGTATGGCCCATGTCATCTAATAACCTATGGCCCATGTCATCTAATAACGTATGGCCCATGTCATCTAATAACGTATGGCCCATGTCATCTAATAACGTATGGCCCATGTCATCTAATAACGTATGGCCCATGTCATCTAATAACCTATGGCCCATGTCATCTAATAACGTATGGCCCATGTCATCTAATAACGTATGGCCCATGTCATCTAATAACGTATGGCCCATGTCATCTAATAACGTATGGCCCATGTCATCTAATAACGTATGGCCCATGTCATCTAATAAAGTTTCCCATTTAACAGGAACCACCAGACTAGATCAAATTTAAAAAATATACATTATTTTATCAACAATTCTAAATTTATTTTAAAAAAATAATTGCAACCCGTGGCAGTCAAGGTAATTTAATTTAGAAAATATCTATCTTATCCAACATCGTTAGACAGCTAATCCAGTTTTTTTTTTTAAATTAGGCAACCTGTAGTTATTTTTAGATACTACGGTCGACGCTACAACCGATAAAATATAATTCGGTTCACTTCCTTATCCAGAAAATAGATTTTGAATAAGATGTAAAAATGATTGTATGGGAAGATTTTATTTAGAGCTTACACTAGCAAGATTTAAATCTATAATCTTACGTTGGTATAAGGATGCTTAAGATGTTTTATTTCTAGCTTCAATAACAAACAATATTTTGGATCAAGAGTTTGTTTTGTTTACAGGAATGTTTAGTGTTCTTTCTTTTCGTGTAAAACATCCTTATGTATTGAATAAGTTATATTATAAGTTATATTATAATTGTTATGTAAACATTTAGTTTCACCAGTACTGTGCACAATCTTAATTTATAAAATATTTTTCCTTACCGGTTTAAAAAAAAATGACAAGCTACATCTAATCTTTTATGAATACTATATAGTAAAATGCTTAACATTTATCATTCCACATATTTTAATGTTAAAACACCGTTAAAAATGTACACATTTAATGGTATACTTAATTATCTGACCACACTTTCAAGACTTTAATGATGTTTGTAGAGTAGACATTTAAAGTACGACATTTAAAAGTGACTTTTCCATGGCCTATATAACGTATGGAATAGAGAGGGGGAGCGGTAGGGGTGCAGTGGGTTTAGGGGGGGGGGGCACACATATACTGGTCATTGACAGGATTCGAACTCTGCTCATGCGCTATACCACTGCCCCGCTGACGCCTATATTTCAGTATTCATGCAGCTAACCTTAACGTTACCGTTGAGACATCGATGTTTATTGATTATCGATTTCAGCAGCCCTACCTTTGAACGTAAACTGTAGCGTTTATCTTGCTCATTTAAACTGAAACCGTTCATTAAGTTGGAGCCTTAAATTGGGTAAAGCTATCATTTAATGGAGCAGTAGACCATTGCTAAATTACGAATACGTAACATCTACAGCTGTCTATCAGTTCATTCAGCTCGAAGTTAAAACGCGTAACGTATTTCGTAGGAATTTTAATTATATGATTTTATAGTTTCCAAAGTGGCAATTCATAAAGAGAAAGAAAAACCTCTCAACTAATCTGTGTGATCACCGGATAAAAAGAGGTGGACTCAAGGGACACAACCACTAAATTAAAAAACTTGAAAACTTCACAAAGGTATGCTGTGCTGGGCTCACTCACGAGCTGGTTGTAGAACTTTCCTGCGACAGGTGTATACGTGATGACACAAGCCAGTTTATTTTTAGATGTCCGTGCTTGCACGTTGGTTACCTGACGATCAGCTGCACGCAGAGGTGCATTAATTACCTTAACTTATCTAGCGTATATGCTGAGCATGCACTCAAGTCTGCTAGTATTGTAATTGTAACGGTTATAAAATAACTTTATATTTATTTTGATAACACGTTACATAAACTTAGATTTTATGTGTTTTTTTTATCAAGCTTTTTAAGATCAAACGAGCTTAAGTCTCTGGCGTGTTTTATAAAAGAATACACTCATATTTTACTTCTCTACTGAGTTCAATCAAACTGCTTATATACGTGACTGGGGGTAGTTTAAAAATAAAAAAAACGGGTCACTTAAATTTACCTCCATGCTACACAAGTATGAGTAGGGGAGTGTGCAGATGGGGAGTGCGACTGCTGGGGAGGCCGATGGGGAGTGAGGCCGATGGGGAGTGAGGCCGATCGTGAGTGGGGCTGGCAGATTAGGAGGTACTCTACTCACTCTTGAGTTTGAACATTGTTTTTTTGTGGAATATTTTATGGAGACTTTAAACAGAAACCATGGGCCATATTTATTCCATATATTGTAAACACAGGCATCTGAATACACCTGCAGACTCCCATAAATTACCACCACCCCATGCTACAAAATAAATGTGCGAATATCCAAGCTTAGTTTCCTGGTCATAAGTTATACGAGATAGGGCCGACCTTTTATTAATGTATAAAGAGTATTGTATGTTGGTGCATAAAAAATTATATATATATATATATATATATATATATATATATATATATATATATATATATATATATATATATATATATATATATATATAAATATATATATATATATATATGTGTGTGTGTGTGTGTCTGTGTGTGTCTGTGTGTGTATGTGTGTGTCTGTGTGGGTCTGTGTGCTGTGTGTATGCTTACATATGCTTACATATGCATACATGAATATTTTAGAACCGCTGTCAGCACTAACTATTTTAGAACCACTGTCAGCCTCGAGCAAACTAAAAGAAGCCGCCAGCTGATTTTACCTACCAAATGTATTGCCAGTGATGTCAAGATGCAACAACTTTCATCTGAGTTATGGCCGCGGGCGGGGAGGGTGGTATGGAAGGGTTAAGTATGTGACTGGCTGGGAAAATAAAAATATCTAGCCTCTGGGTTGGACTGGTTTTGTAAATGATAACAGACTCTTAAAGATAAATCCGATATTTTCAGATGTATTTCCTTGGCAACCAGATATAGACATGGAGACATGGAGATGGGCATAAGAAACTACCCCTCCCCCATCCCTTCCCCAGAAAATCTCAATAATGGGCATCTAGCGTCAGTTAAATAGGATTAATTAAGAGCTGGAGCAGGCACCCCGTACAGGATCAAAGCTCTAAAGATAAGACACATAACTGCAGTTCATGACTCAGTCAAAAATGTGTATGAATCTGCTCTAAAGATAAGACAAACAACTGCAGTTCATGACTCGGTCAAAAAGTTTTATGTATCTGCTCTAATGATAAAACAGTAAATTCCATTACATTGTCAATAAGTTTTATATATTTGTTGATTATTTCGACGGTTTATTTTTTATTTTCACTGGTCAATGTAGAGTGCAGAAAATCTTATAAAACTTGTTTAGTGGTTGTTTTTTTATTCACTCCTTATGAGGAATACAGATCTTAAACATTTTTATGGGTTCAATTTTAGTAAAAAAAATAGAATACAAATTATAAATAGGAGAACTATATGATTAAGACATGTATGTATTTAATGTTTCTAGTTCACTGATAGGAGAGTCTTTGACTGTTGATAGGCAAAAGGTTAAGATAGGAATGTGTTTATCATTTCATGTCATTAAAAACGAATTGGCTCACATATTTTCCAACTTAATTATTTTATTTACTAAAGATATTTTTGCTGTTGTTACTTCGTATTATTCTCAGTGCCACTTTGTAAATTGACATAATCTTTATGTTGAGTACCATGGTTCTGCCCCCGCTCCTTTCAGTCCAAACTGTTGCGACATTCTTATTTTTAAAACCCTCAACAATACAATCCTTGCAAAAACGGCGTTTCTAGGCAGCAAACAAAAATTTTTAAAAAATACAAGAATTAACATAAACCAAAAATAGTAATTACTGCATTATCTAACATATCCAGTCATATATTATGCATCAAGCTGTATTCAAATAGCTGTCAGTTTATTCAAGTTGGGTTCAATATATAGTGCGCCTGGTTATGTATAGCTATATAACACGACCTTTACAGACAAAATGGAAGTTGTATAAATGAATAGAAATCCAAAATGTCAGCGTTTATCTAACTGAGCCCTGTTAATTGGCCGGTCAATAATGCGCATTGCTAATTGGTTGGCCAACCATTAAAATATGTGCGCGTCGGTCACGCAAACAGTATCTTTTAATTGTCGATAAATATGGGCCACCTACAACGTTAGATAAAATATGTTACCCATAAGTCTACACTGTTTCGGTTTATGGCTATTTGAGAGGTTTTTTTCAAATACAAACGTGTCGTTATTGGTTCAATCGTGAACTATAACGTTTTTTAGAAATCGTGGTGATTACAACATTTCAAGTTACACTTTGTTACAAGCAGATACTAACAAGTACCAGCATGGAACATTTCAAGGTACACTTTGTTACAAGCAGATACTTACAAATACCAGCATGGAACATTTCAAGTTACACTTTGTTACAAGCAGATATTTACAAGTACCAGCATGGAACATTTCAAGTAACACTTTGTTACAAGCAGATATTTACAAGTACCAGCATGGAACATTTCAAGTTACACTTTATTACAAGCAGATATTTACAAGTACCAGCATGGAACATAGACTGTGAACCAGAACCGAGGAGATCTAGAATAACTGCGGCATTTAGGATTAAGAACAACCAATGATCTGAGGCTGCTAGAACTATATATATATATATATATATATGGCTCCATGGTCAATAGACCACAGGATGATTGAGCATTGGATACATGCACAATACTCGGGTAATAAGATGCGAAGAGACAAATGTTGCCCATGTATCGGATCCCCTCCCTCCACACAGCTGATGGATCCTATGGACAATTGAGCTCAGACAGAACTAAAATGGGGTTGAACCATTGAGCTCAGCTAGAAATACTGTGGAGTACTGAGGATGCAGCATAAAAGAATACCAGAAAAGCAGGCTGAAATCGGAGTCAGCGTCTTACATGGCGTAATACAAGTCAACACGTAATACTTAATTGTGTTAGAGGGAATCTCTTCCAACACTAGAATTAAGGACCAAGAAGAAAAAGAAGAATACCAGACTAGGAGAATCAACGTCACGTGATAATCCCCGGCATTACTCACGACTTCCACACAAACATTAACCAAGAATTTGGGCAGAGATTTAAAAAATTCCTTTAAAAATGTATTTGAAAATAAAATCTACAGGATACGCCTTAAAAATAACATCTAAGCTTCTAAACTTAGCTTTTACCTGGGATAATTTAGACTATCTTCTGAAAAGCGCAGAATGGAATATAATAGATAGATCCCATGGAAACCTTCGAATCCTTGTAATTCTGGTTAGGTTTCCAACCCATGCCACATGTGTTTTTGAAAAGAGGATTAAAAAATGGATGCTACGGTTGCACTGTAAGCTACAAGGACGAAAGCAATTAAAACTGTTAAGACATAATTTATCAACGTTGATTGACATAATTAATTAGTCTCTCAACTCTTATTTGGATTAGAAAAAAAACGTTCAAGGTTTAAAATATATAATTGAATTTAAATTAGACAGCAATTAGTGTCTAGCCTAACACACAGGATCAGGTTGATCTATGTAACGTTTCCCATTGATTTAAAACTTGGGACCTTTTATTCATGTATGGTCAATGTTGGATAAAAAAAAAATTGTTTTCCCAAAATGCACTTTTGTCTGTAAAATCTTAGCACAATAAAATTATTTACTCAATACACTCATAATTTTGTTTCAGTTGATGAAAGTGTGTGTATTGCGGGGTGAAAGGGGAGGGGGGATGAAGACGATACGATTGTGTGGTCAGCTTCGATTGTCATTATTAATTGAAAACTTCATCACGTTTATATTTGAATCTGTAAACAATGTGTGATCCTTCTAATGCCTCTTACTCCGTAAACGTTTATTTACACACTACTTTATTGCACCACTCAAATTTGTCTTACTTTCTTAAAAAAGCAACTTTTAGTCTTAGAATATATTTGAAACAGTGAATAAGAAATGTGCCTCGATCAAGAAACAATAATTGCAATCGTAACCAGACATTACTCAATTCTCAAGATATTAGCAAAGATAAAGTTTGGCGTAAGTTCCTCAAGTAAACATGGTACGATATGTCAGGGTCAAGAGTTCATACGTGAAGTGCTTTAACTACACGGATGTGAATGATCTAATTCAAGAAATTCTTGGTCTACTTACCACCGGGTTAAAATAGCTGGAGAAATGTTTTTTGTTCTTGACGATGGTGGTGTAGTTGGAATAGGCCAAGTAAGGCAGGGCCATGATGAAGAAAGTGGCCAAGACGATGAACATGGTGACGGCCACGGCCTTCTCCTGAGCAAAGATGGCCACGTCCTCGGCCGACGAGTGGGCCCTGAGCCGCTTGGACAGGGCCTTGATCTCCCTGAATATCTTCACGTAGCAGAAGACCAAGATACTGGAGGGAAAATACAGAATAAATTGTAAGTCATTATGTCAACGTTTGCTTACTCAAATCAGATGGTTAAATCTAACGTAAGGCAGATGTGTGGGGTTTTATGTGCTGTATATAGATTATAATCTGGGCCAATGAAATGGTTGTGTGGTCCGCATTACACCCAGATTACTTTCACTAAGTAGAGTCAGGTACCCGATAAACTTGACGCCCTGAGACCAAACTTGCGACTTTCTGGTTAGCACCCGTGTCCTCTATCCCTCGACTGTGTTTAGTATCGAAGCAGTACAGTTTATATGTCGGTATAGTGTCATTACAATATAAACAAATGTCACTCTCAAGATTTATTTCTAGTATTCTTGTAAAATCTTAACATACAGAAAGTGAGATCATTATAGCAATGATCACGACATCATTGCCATAATTAATCAGGCCAGCAAACAAATTAACGTGTCAGCTAGATGTATTTCGTGCAAGCTATCTGGCCCTTTCAACTTGTATTGAATGATGACTCTCATTTTGTTCATGATTCCTACTTTTAAAAATATTAATTAAAAAAAGAATTCATAGACACCCTACGTCTATTTTTTTTAAATACGAAAGAGACTTTAATGAAAACCCAATGAAGACAACATTGATTAACAATTTGGCATATCGCTCACACGAAATAATCAATTTTTATCTGCTGTTAAAGACACTTAGTAAATCTTATAATGTAACATATTTTTAACACTATAACTTGAAGTAATATTTGATTAAACACGTCTTCTGTGGTGTAGCCTACATAAATGAACAAGTTATTTGTAACGTTAAAGGATGGGACTATACAAGTCATTTGGATAGTTAAATGCAGGGATTATACAAGTCATTTTAACAGTTAAAAATTGTATTAAGCAAGTCATTTGACCAGTTAACTTACATAAAGGGTAGGATCAAGCACGTCATTTGACCAGTTAACTTACATAAAGGGTAGGATCAAGCAAGTCATTTGACCAGTTAACTTACATAAAGGGTAGGATCAAGCAAGTCATTTGACCAGTTAACTTACATAAAGGGTAGAATCAAGCACGTCATTTGATCAGTTAACTTACATAAAGGGTAGGATCAAGCAAGTCATTTGACCAGTTAACTTACATAAAGGGTAGGATCAAGCAAGTCATTTGACCAGTTAACTTACATAAAGGGTAGGAGCAAGTCATTTGACCAGTTAACTTACATAAAGGGTAGGATCAAGTGATGTGACCAGTTAACTTACATAAAGGGTAGGATCAAGCACGTGATCTGTATGATGACGTGTATGATGTACGTCTCCGTGTTGTGTGGGTAGAGTGGGCCGCACTGCGACGTCCCGGGCTTGTACTCCACCTTGAGGAACATGATGTTGAGCGTGGCCACCACGGCGGCCCACAGCCAAGCGGCCACCATCATGGACACGATGTACTTTAGCGTCAGCGGGTTGTGCAGCGGCCGGACGATGGAGAAGTACTTGTGGATGCTGATGTACATCAGCGTGTGGATGGAGGTCACCAGGCAGATGGCGTTCATCCAGCCGTTGAACAGACACACGGCCTTGCTGAAGATCCAGCCGTGCTCGAGCAGGGTGGTGATGGTGAAGGGGATGACCATGGCGCCCACCAGCATGTCGGCCACGGCCAAGTTGACCAGGAACAGGTTGGTCCGGGTGCGCATCCCTTTGTGCCGGACGATGACGACGAGAACCATGGCGTTGCCGGCGATGATGCAGAACGAGGCGAGGATGTTGACGGCGGCAAGGAAGGACGCGAACTCCACGCTCCACGGGTCGGGTGTGGTCTTACTCCCGGTACTGTTGTCCGGCGCGCTGCCATTGGCGACACCCAGGCCGAGGTCAAACGTGTCGTTGGGGAAGTCGAAACTCATGGTTGATGTGCGGTGTCTTTAACAGATGGGCGGCTCCTTGTGCTTAGTGATACACATTGTGTTGTCGACTAGGTACAGACAACGTTTTCATCTGAAGGAGACCGCTGTAGGAAGATAATAACAAAAATATCGTAGTAAAAAATGAAAAGTACCAATTATAAAATACTACAAATCTCAGCATGTGTAAAATGGCCCCATACTTCATAAGATGTGTGTCTTATATTTATTGAGTAGATAATTACTGACCCCGGGTAATTAAGACACGGTCCAGCATTGACCCTCAATGTTGTACTCACGTCCAAAAACCAGTGGTCAGCTGTAATTAGTCTGAGATATACCCCAGACAGACCAGTAACATAGCGGCAAACAAATACATAATTAGCTTTGTTAAAGTCGGTTCGACCTTACGTTGATAGTTCAAAGTTAATTTTAGCAAGTTACTATCTCAATCATTACTTGGCCTATTTCGGTTTAGTTTTTTAAAAATCAAATTGAACATGACAGTCATAGCCCACGTGTGAATGACGCACTCTACATGTCTACACTTCCCACAGCTACACACTACACACGTATAAAAGAAATAAGGAGCACACCGTGTCTAGGATCGTGTACCCAGTCAAGACACACACTACAGTGTCGACACAACTGGTTCAACTTCCCGTTAAACGGGTGTGTGTTGCTGGGGATTTCAAACTTCAGTTTTGCTACAAGGTCTCAACAATTATAAACTAATTCGTTTACCTTAAATTTGATACCAAACTCAACTATAGAAGTAAAATTGTGACCAAGAAATGTTAAAAGGAGTTTGTTATTACATGTCTTACTTCCTTCCTTCTGCCTCCCAGTTTACTCTGACGGTTGAGGCTACCATGTTAGAATGTTTGCTTTTAAAATGCTGTGTTTACTTTTTTTTTATGTTGACCTGAGTTCTGATGTAACCTATTATTATAGTTCTTCCCGTAACACATGGCGGCCTATAGGGGTGGTTTAGTTAGTCCCTCGTCTTGTCCTAGATCAGAGGTTCTTAATCTGGGTTCGATCGAACCCCAGGGGTTAGGTGAGTCTGTCTCAGGGTTCGGCGGAGGTCAAGACATACACCCGTCTCAGATGATTCACGATTGGATTTTGTCGAGGTTACCCGCGTGATTATTTTTAGTCAGGGCGCATGACGTCATTGTTTATGTTTAATTTTCATTCACTAATATACCAACACAAAGTTTAATAGTATTTTGTATAATGATTTGAAAGTTAATATAAAAATAATGTAATTTTTATTATTATGGTTTTACTGGAGTTATAATTTACGTTTTTTAAGACGTATTTTTTTTTCTGGAGAATATTCACTAAATATGCATAAACCTTATTTTAAAAATATTTTTCTTTCATAAAACAAATTACGTATTACCCATAACAGCATGTAAAACGTCTTACACATTTAGTATGTGATCTATTTTCGAGATTTCAAATTTTTTCTTTATATGTTAGAAATAAGCATTAAGGCGAAATGTTGGTTCCTTTTTAAAATTCCCTTCCCAGGTGAAGGTAGATTCGCTTAATGATCCGAATTAGTGCACTAAGATGTAGCCACTTTTACTTCACTTGATCTAGTTCCACTAGAAGTTGCTAGGCGGAAAAAAGAACCGTAAACCATCGTATTCGTCGTCTCCCCAGTAGTTACGTCACGTGGGCTGTTAAAGCACTGCTTGAACCTGAAGTTTAAAGAACGCCCGTGAAAGTGGTTCACCGCAAAACTAAGAGTTTAAAATAAAAGATGAATGGGTTTTAATGAACTCATTAAATTGCCGGAGTTTTTGTAAGCTGTCAGCCATGTATGACAACACGTTTAAAATTTTAAAAATTCAAGTCGTTTTTTGTGAGTTGTAAGGTTCATTAACCTTCTCTTCTTGCTGATGATTATGGTCAGAATATATATATATATATATAAATATATATATATATATATATATATATATATATATATATATATATATATATATATATATATATATATATATACACCCACACCCACACAGAGACACATATACACACACACACATTGTTTACACACGTGCAAGCACAAATATGGACCTATTTAGTTTTTAAAAAACTAAAAAAGTATTCCTCTATCAATGTAAGAAATGCATAGTTTTAAGGAAAGTTAAATTCCACGTCTTAAACGCCTGTATTATAGAAGCTAAAAAAAAGGTCCCAAAGACCTGTATTATAGAAGTTAAAAAGTCTATGTCTTAAAGGCCTGTCTTTAAGAGATAGGATCAGGCCGACAAGCGTAAACTTTGGACGCCTGATTTCTTGACGTCTGCCTCAGGTTCTGCTTCCATCAGACTTGGCACCGGCCTCGTCCCTGCCGGAAGTACCTCACAACTTCCGGTTTGTGTGAGGCGAACCACTATTGAAAGACCACCACTGAAGCTATTTTTGTAACTATTACTTAGACTTTAGAGCATCAGATTTTATCTGTTGCTATAGGCTCATCTACTCTCATCACATTGACGTCACACATCTGTACATGCTCATTAGCGAGCTATGGAGAGCTGACTTAGTAGAGCGCATCTTGGCGGTGTCAGCAAGTCATGTACACAAATTACATGGTAAACATCTCCACACTTTGATACACAGCTGTTGCTTCTCAATGTGCTTCAAAGTTCAAAGCGTCTCACGTCGGCTATGACATGCGCTGAGATTACATGTTAGCACATATGTAATTTATTTTGCTAGGTACTCATTAGCGCTGAGTGAGCTCAATTTGATATAAATTTTAACTAAAATAAAAGAATCTTTTGCAGGTGGTAACACGAGCAGAAGTTTGGAGCAGATATTAGAATCTTTGCAAACAAGCTCGTGTGTGTCGAGTGAGGGGGGGGGGGGGGGGACGAGGTGGGTGGGCGAAACAATTGAGCCATTGTGTGCTGGTGTTGATGAGTTACCTGGCTCTACAGCAGGTAGACCTGCTCTGACCTGCTCCGACCTGCTCCGACTTGGGTTATCTTATTTTAGAAATTTTTACAGCCCTCAACCCCCCCCCCCCTCCCTAAAATCTAGAAAGTTATTATCCAGATATTTTGTTACTAGCTCTCAACGAACTCACGAGATAATTGTTTTATAGTAGTTAGACGTGCCGTGAGATGATTAGTTCTTGTCTAGACATCTCCTAAAAAAGGTCCTAAATAAAAAGAAATTGTGTTATGTTGCAAAACTGTATCTTTTCGACAAAGATGTTAATTACTTTTATATTTTACTTATCGAATGTTTTTCAGAAACCTCAAAAAGAGAGAAAATGTACATATGTAGGTGGAAAGGGGAGAAAAACAAAAGCTGAAAGGAAAGTCAACAAATTATGTTCGTCCACATATACGCGAGTTATTATTTAATGTCACATTTGTATGTGGTCATTGAATGATGGGAATGGTTGTAATGCATCCATCGGTGAGACCGAATGTGAAGTGCATTTTCTCAGGAAACATTAGCACTTTATATAACAAGCGCTAATTATAGTTACCAACTGTACATTTTTAAACTAGCGGCTAGTTTATAATTCTTCCTGACTTCAAGATATTTTTCTTTACTCTGAACCTTCCATCACCTCCCCCTCCCCATTTCCTACACTGAACCTTCCATCACCTCCCCCTCCCCATTTCCTACACTGAACCTTCCATCACCTCCCCCTCCCCGTTTCCTACACTGAACCTTCCATCACCTCCCCCTCCACATTTCCTACTCTGAACCTTCCCTCACCTGCCCCTCCCCATTTCCTACACTGAACCTTCCATCACCTCCCCCTCCCCATTTCCTACACTGAACCTTCCATCACCTCCCCCTCCCCATTTCCTACACTGAACCTTCCATCACCTCCCCCTCCACATTTCCTACTCTGAACCTTCCCTCACCTGCCCCTCCCCATTTCCTACACTGAACCTTCCATCACCTCCCCCTCCCCATTTCCTACACTGAACCTTCCCTCACCTGCCCCTCCCCATTTCCTACACTGAACCTTCCATCACCTCCCCCTCCCCATTTCCTACACTGAACCTTCCATCCCCTCCCCCCCCTCCCCACTTACTCCGCAACCGTAGCCTTGAGAACTGGAGCTCATTATTTTGAGCGACAATATTTTCCATGAAGCTACCAGCGTCTACCAATCTTTCCCCCTGATCTCCCCTTACCTTTCCATGACTTACCCCTGATGTACAGCTGTGGTGGGACAACCTCCTACCCTACAACTAGATCACCCGGTACCTGCACCACAAACTTCTTGAATGGACATTTTTTTTGAACCCAGTTAAAGTCATGTATCAACATTCTAGATCTTATTCAACAAGGCTTTCTCTTTGGCAAAAAAAAAAAGGTACAAAAAAAACGAGGTTCTTTTTTAAAGTAGTAAATGAGTGCATGGAATGAGGCATGCGCTGTCGAATTCATTTAGACTCAGGTTGTTTATCAACAAGTGCATGGGCACCAGGTAATTACAACATGGCTTGCCGTGCTCACTGTGACACACACACACACACACACACAGAGATTTCAACCGTATTTGCATATATATATATATATATATATATATATATATATATATATATATATATATATATATATATATATATATATATATATATATTTATTTATTTATTTACTCGCACACTCCATCACACACATATATAATAGGTGTGCGCTCATACTCTACCTCACTTATATAATACAAGAGCACTTCTTTATGTAAAGACGAAACATGCGCACTCACTCTTCCTCCCTACACAAACGTTTAAAACGTGCACTCACACACTTCTCACACACATCAACACCTGCATTCACACACTCCCCCATACACATGTAACAAATGCGCCCTCACACTTACACCCTCCACACACATCAACACACGAGCACTCACACACAGGTGACTCACGCTCTCCTCAACAAATTCCAGCCGTCTCTCGACAAATCACGTGATCCTCTTTTATTACCCGGGAATGTTTAAGAGCTGAATTTGATGAGGCTGCGTCGATTACACCTCTCATTATGTCGCATTTCGCGACCAAAGGGCAGTAACCGCTGGGTACAGTACACGCAGAGTTATTTCAAGGCTAGACAT